ATTTTGCGTATCGTGCTATGTGTGTGTGCAAGTATGTGCTAGCTAAGAATAGGTAACAAAGAAGATTGTTGAGTGTAAGCACTGGAGGGGGGGGGGAGAAAGAACACGATCAACGACCAAGCGATGAAAAAACCTGATGAATTTCTAAATTCTCCGAAAGGGTACCTAACAATATGGCACCATCACCATTACCAATCTTTCCCACAGCAACCCGAATACAGTCCCATTGCACGCATCACCGGCGCATACTTACCCTGCTTAGCATCTTTGCGACGGTATTCGGCCACTAAACTACGAGGATACGACAATAAACAGTACTAAATGATTTAAGTAATCGCGACGAACACCCTTTTCTACAGGACAGGTAGCCAGCCAGAACGGAAAGCACACCTGGGCTAGCTGGAGGACCGAGTGATCGCCTGCGTAATAAGAAGATTTGTTCATCAAACAGTTACAGAAAACTTTTGAATAAGTGACGATAATTGTATTTATATACCAAGATACAACAAAAACAACTATGAAGTCTTAGTAACTATAAAACGTACAGGGTTGAGGGGTTAACATGACCGTCATTATGTTTGTTGAACTACGAAAAAAAATTGCACACGATAATTTACTATGCAAGTAATAGTACCAAGTAACTAACACAGAAGCTAAGGCTCATGGAAAACACGCGGATAAATTTCATTAGCTGGCTTAAAAAGATAAAATTATAGATTTATAAAATCAGCACACATAGAGGAAGAGTTGTCATCGAACAGAAAACACTATAAGTTCATGGCAAGGACCGGTTCTGTGAACATGCCGAACTCTCGTTTCGACTATGGCGGAACAACTCATGCTCCGATATGATGAGCCCCACCGTGAATATTGTGACAGATAAGAAATATCTCAGTGAAATTTGTTGGTAAAATCGCGAATAAATGGACTGAATCACTCGATCTCTCCTTCCATATGAGACAACAGATGTTAGCGAGGAATTAGGAATTCGAATAGGAAGACGGCAGATCAAACAGGGGAAACATTTGATATGGAGAGAAGAATTATCCCCAAACCCCACCAACCACGACGAGCATATCTGTTACCAAGTTGCCTAGGATTATGTTAGTCGAAATCTATAAGACACGTTTCAAGCGCTTTAGAACGGAGAGATGAACATTTTCAATATGCTGGAGCTAACATAGAATATCAATGAAAAGGTGAGTGAAATTTATTACAGTGAGAGTGTTCGTTATAGAAATCGTCTTACGAAAGGTGAAGGTGAGCCACAGGTTTCGAACGCCTGAAAAAGAAAAAAAAAAAGACTCAAAAAAGGATGGCTTAGAGAAAATAAATGAGAGGCGCTAAGATACTATTTACCAACAAAATATTTGTAGAATCAGTTCATGTATAAGGAAATCCTTTACTCATGTGCGAAAATATAGCATAAGTAGAACGATTACGAGAGAAGTAAGTTTTGTTGGCGCATCAGCTTTCTTTAAAGGAATCTTGCGCGGAAAATTCTTGCACTCTTTCCTAACATGAATATGTCAGTTGTGATCACTGGAAATAGCACACAAAGTTTCACGCATGAAGATTCGGTTTCTGAAGAGAAACAAACGTACAAAAACTACACGTTATGGACCATCGAAGGACCAGGAGGCAGAGCCAGGCGAGGCATGGAAAGAAGACGGCGTTTGGCCGGCTACGTACCAGGCGACGCAATGAGAGAATCGGGTTAAAGCGCGCGATTTCGGAGAGTGGAGACAAATCGATCGATGGAATAGGATGGAGTAGAAGTGTAAGATGTGAATGCAACGAAGCAGAAGGCCAGAAAGAGCTTCTAGTGAATGCACTCCAAGAACCAAGTTTGAGCATCCCCGTCGCCAGCATTCGTGAAAGACGTCCGTGGGCAATTCGAACGCGTAGCAGCCTTTTCGAGTTTTCGAATTTCTAATCAAAACGAAAGCAATACTTCAGTTCTTTTCACTATTATCGTGGATAATGAGTCTCAAGCCAGTGATTTATGGCTGAAATAGAATCATGATTTTTCCGCGCAAGATTCCTTTAAGCATGGAAGATGCAACTTGCTCGTTGTCAGGGATCTCTCTCTTTGCCCGGAGAATGCACTACGGTCCATCTCACGACGAAAATTAAGTTGAGGAGGGCCATTCCATTGCGCTGTGCGTTTCTAGCACTATACGTACTCGTTTACAGTAGCTTCTTTGAAAAAACCGGTGAACCACCCTGCATTTTACAAATGCTATCCAATTTTCCAAAGTAGCCAGCGATCCACCCACTCCAGAGCACTCTTTCTCCTATCCCCTTGAACTCGGAAAAATATCCAGCCATTGGCTGAGGATCGCGTCTCCGAACCAATCGAGGGTGATTCAGCCGGTAATTATCAAAAAGTTACTTGTATTAAGCATGTTATCAAAGCTCTTATCCTTATCTCTTAGCTCTTATCCTCCTCATGAATGCTCTTATTAGATCCCTTAGCGTTAGACGCTGAGCACAATGGATGCCTCCCAACTCCGTTTTGTCAAACAAATTGAAGCAGCAGTCCCAGCAGGGTTTTTACCTTCAACACTAATGGTGTGGAACGATGCGCTAGCCCTAGTCAAGAACATAAGAAGTGTGACTGAACAAAAAACTCACCTTGGAAAGCCGCTAGAAAGGGAGCTGAACGGCTTCGAAGTGGGCGTGGTTGCTCAGTCGGCTGCAATCCCCTCGGCCGACTTCCAACCACGCCCACTTCGAAGCCGTTCAGCTCCCTTTCTAGCGGCTTTCCAAGGTGAGTTTTTTGTAGACTAGGGCTAGCGCATCATTCCACACCATCAGTGTTAAAGGTAAAAACCCTACTAGGACTGCTGCTTTCAATAAGGAGCATAACCAACTTACCCGTCTACCAGTTCTGTCGCGGAGAAACGTTTACCCCAGCCAGACTGGCCACGGTACTTCCACCACCTAATCCTCCTATGCCATCGGACAGACGAGACATCACTTCGGACATTTCGTCGGCTTCTTCGTTCGCTTGCTTCATATCCGCCAAAACTCTACAAAACACAACGTCAATTTCCTCAAATGAAAAAAAACAGTTGATCTGGTCATAGATTTGCGCAAATAAATCCGAACAATTGCTCAAATTAACGGCGTCAATTACGCAGAAGCGCACAACTGGAAATAAAGAAGGAAAAAATAAATGGTCAAAAAAGAAATATCGAAGACGAAAGCAAATGTTGAATCCGTTGCCAAAAACAGATTCAAGAATTAATTTTAGAAGCTCTCGAAAATCACGTACCGCGCAAATCTCGTCCATTCTTCGCTTCTCAATACATACATACTTTCGTGAACATCAAACAGCTGCAGATTACCCTGGTCGTCTCCAACGCACAGGTGTTGTCCTTAAAATTGGTCAACGACACATATCCCACTACGGCTTCTGAGCTACGATACGCTCAACTAACCGTTCTCGGCCCATGCGATTTTCTTCAAGAATCCATCTTGAGCAATGTTCATTCGTGCAACTGGACCCTTCTATGTCCTCATTGAGATTCCAAAGGAATAACTGAAAAGGATTAAAGAATAAGAAATGATGTCGACATCCATTAGGAAAATTTACAAATGGAAAAGGAAAACATACGTTCCCCTCGGCGTCAATTGACGTAAAAACAGCGGGATGCACCGGTGACCAGGCGACATCGAAAACGTAGTCATTATGTGACTCGAAAGAGAACCGCAACTTGGGATCCTAAAAATACTGACAATAGTGAAAAAACACTCTCAGAAATACCTAAACGAAAAAGAATAAAAAAGACTTCGTTGCACGACACTCACCTTTGTGCTCCACAATTTCACGGTCCAGTCAGAACTCGAAGTAAGGAAAAGATGAGAAAGATCTACTGGACCCGTGGCACGATGGAAAGCTATTCCACACACAGGTGCGCCATGACCTAAAAAGGGTGGATCGACTCATAAAAAAGGTAGCCGCTTAAAGGAAAGCAAAACGATTATAATTTCTCCTGGAACAATGAAATCCGAGCCACAATTGAGCCAATTCTTCAACCACATTATTTGCTTCATATAAGTTAGTTTCGTTCTCAAAATATGCAGCGATCCTGCATGCTGCACCCTCACTTCTCACAACTATATTCACAACCCTAGATCTTACTGGCGAGTGAAAGCGGTCGATAACGGAATTGCCGAGTTGACTCCACATGAAAAGAGAAACAAAGAAAAGCGCCGATAAAAACCCTAAAACGAGCACTCCCTCTTTCCCCTTGAATAAGGAGGGAATATGGCGGGAATAGGTGTCAAAAACTAGCTTGCTCCGCCGGCATATACTGCTGGCCGAGCACCATGCCTCAATGTAGACAAAGAAATACGATACAAACGATCTAGGCAATTCAAACCAATCAAAAAAACTGGCTGCATTCCTTCCGACGCAGCCGTAGATTACACGCCATCGCGCAAGACCACGCAACCAGTCACACAATCGTGCAAGGACCACGCAATCAATCAGCGATCTCCACAGCTAGCAAATGGGCGTGTCGATGAAAATGCGGACGGTATATCTATCCAATCCCTCTAAGGGGCTTTCCAAATGGGTTTTTGCTTCAGCGACACTTCATATGTTCTCGACTAGGGCTCACGCATCTCTTGACACCACTGCAGCGAAAATACGAACCCGTTGGGGTTGCTGCTTCAGAATATAAAGTTTATATCCAATGACTTGGTAGGAAAAAAGCTAGCAATCACTCGACTGCATCGGTCATGCGAATTAGTCTTCAGTTAAATGCAACAAAGAGAGGATAAATCATCACTAATTTTACGCTCGAAAAGCATTTTTGTTGCTTTGATTGGTCCTTCTGATAGCAAACAGAACTCGGAAGGATATTTTACGTATAAATGATTACCATCGAAGAATGTATGCTCCTGCGTGTTCGGTTGGCCCGTCCCGTGACGACTTAGGGCATATGCGTGACCATCCTCACTTCCCACTACAAAATTATTCATGTCCGCTACCGGAAAAGACATACATAGGCACGGGATCTGAAATAACAAATGCACTAAAAACCATGTACTCCATTATATGGGCAGTACTAAGCCATACTGAATGTAAAACATTTGTGGCTAAATACGATTAAAATTAAATAAAAAAAGCAATAAATACATAAAAAGTGCTTAATCAGTTTATATAAAACCAGTGACCAAGTTATAAGCAAACCAAATTGACTCCAGTTTTAGAAATCTGCTTTCTATTCTCCCCGGTTGTCCGCCCAGCCAAATACAGCGTCGCTGCATTCGTGTACGTTATAGAGGGGGAACTCGACTTGCACGATCTAATCGACGATAGAAAAATGACGGACGACCTTTCGCCCACACATATGTCGACATCAAGCAAAAGTCTCCCGTTTCCCGGTTTTTAGCTAACAAATCTTACCATAACAGGAAATATTCTGATAGTTCGCTACTATCCACCTAGAAGCTCCAAAGAGAAGGTAGACATAGGCGACCAACGTGCCGGCGCGGGCGGAGCGTGTTGAACTCCAATGCGGTGGAGCATCACAAATGAGGCAAGACTTGGGCTTTATCCAGATCCATAGAAATACAGCAGATTCGAAAATATCTTCCCAGTTGGTGAATAATGCAATGGGATTGGTGACATTACCTGTTTTCCTTTTCGCCATTTGATAGCAGCTCTTTGCCATCAACTGGTTGAGTCAGGTTATCCACATTCCAGCTGCACATTTTTCCGTCCGTACTTATGGATACCTTACAAAGAAATTGCTCAATAAATGGAACTAATTCAAAAACGCTGACAAACAAAAATACCAGGTTATGTGCATTGTGTGTACCAATGACCTCCAATGCGTACACAGGATGTGTATGTGCGGAGGTTGAAAGAGGACTCTGGAAGAAAGTCAGAACTCTGTTGAACAACACAAAAAAAATTTCTATCGTTGAAGGCCAGTAATTACCTTATGAATAGGAGTTTTCTTATTGGCGACTCGATTGTCCCACATGCAGATCTGACCAGAATAGCACCCGGCCATGATGAGATGCGCATGAAAGCGTGCCAACGCAACGGACGCTAACCGCGATTGGCAGTGGAATACGTACCTGTAAAAAATACTTTGTTGCCGCTGTACTTCACGAAAGAAGAAAACAAAAAGTACTGCAGACAGAACACTCACTCTGGAGAGTCCTTTTTAAACTTGGTATTCCATATAAGCACGACACCAGGAGGCTCAGAGGGAATGTCTTTGTTCTGTAACACACGATACTTGATATTTTCCACGGGGCGCAACAGATATGGTCATTGACTTAGCTTTGATCTACCATGTGTCCAGCAGAAAATAAAACTTAAGTGTACGATTCACTTACGAAGTCATACGACACTGCAACCAGTTCTGGATGTTGTTCTGAGAAAGCAATTCCTGTCACAGCTCTGAAATTGATTAACCATCCAGATACGGGATTATTCTTAAAAACTACTTACGGAACTTCTAGGTACCTTTGATATTTTGTCTTGATACCTATTATACACATAGTAATAATTATCGAATATCAATACAAAATACTTATGTACTTATATAACATGCTGGGTGGGTACTCATTAATAATTGCTGAGTACCTACTCAGCACATTTTGTCAAGCTGCGTGCTGACAACGTTGGAGAAAAGAAAACTTACGATTCCTTACTTGAGCGGATGAAGAAACACCCAAGTGAATTTAAAACTCCGTCAGAGGAACTTTTATGAAAGAAGACTGCTATACTAGATGAACAAAATATCATAAAAATTAAGGTGTGCAAAGTTATTTTCTTAAGAACACAGAATTTCGCAAAAGATTATGATTTTTACGAGTTCGCCAACGGAACAGTTTTATGCATCCTCTTTATGCTGATAAAAATACTACATTCACTAGCACTGGTACAATTTTTGAAGAATCTTCACCTATTCTGAGACCATTTTGGATCGGAAAACACTCTCGACAGCACCAGACGATCACTTGATGCAATTACTTCACCATGACCATCGCGTGCATAATCGATGAAAATATCTACCTACAAATAAAGTAGGTGAGGAAACATCTATGCAAGTACAGAGGATCGACAAAATAAA